CAACCCATCGGTCCTTTTCAGGACCACAAATTACTAATAAAAGAATAAACTAAAGAGTAAGAGCTTGAATCCAAGACGTATCGTCCAGGATTGGCTTGTACTACATGGACATCGACAGAGCACCTCAAAAACAAAACTCTCAAATTGCTTCCGAATTTCAACCTTGTAACAAGTACGCTTTTCCATTTATTTATTTAGTTATTTATTTGCACAGAATTCCTATTATACAATTTTCACATTTAAGTATATTGCATGAACGTTAGTTTTTTACAATTAAATTCATAAATGTATTCACCGCCAAGGAACGTACGTCCACATATATATAGTTACACTTGTCATACAAAAACCAACAAGTTCCCGATACGTTCAGCTCATTCACTCCATTTGACCCGAATACGCTACCTGTTCGTTAAAGTCCGGGGTTCGAATCCGAACCGTTCTCTCTTATAAAAGAATAACCAAAAATAGATTGAAGCAAGATAGTATACTGAAATTGCATGACAAGGAAAAAGATGTAGCATTGAATGTTCTTGAGAGAAAGATGATGAAAATTGTCGTTTGAAAGGTCGTTGAACTACTTCGGTAATTTGACGTACTTCCGGCCACGATGACCGTTGAAATCACGCCTATCTGAGGGTATCTGGAACTTCTACTCGTTCACTTTGACTTGAACCGTGGAAGAGGCGGGAGTGCGAGTAATTAGTACTTAAGTGTACTTAGTGTCGCGGTGTGTTTTTAAAAATGTGAGGAGTCTAAAAGACTGATTTTAATGTTACATCTTTGTGCCTTTCCGTTAGCCTGTAGAGTGCAATCTGTATGTAAAAAGTTCCGTGCGGTCCACTTATTGTGTGTGCAAAGTGTGTGGAGATGTATGTAACTGACGGCGTTCGACGGCTTTTTGTTTAGGATCGTTTTTGTGTAGGATCGTTTTGTGCAAATTGGAGTTTACACCGCATCGCTTCTAGCGATAGATGGCTTTGCTCGGCACACCGCAATCGAGGAAATAAATCACGCTCTCTAGACTCCACGCTTCAACTTCAAGGTTCCCGGTTCGGGGGAGAATTCGGAAGGGAGACACCGTTTAACTGTTCTCCGGCAGAGCGTTGGCCAAATCCGCCAATGTCAACCACGTGAACCCACGTACATTATTCGTCTTCGACGATCCCCGCGTTGACATTTGCGCCACCGGCAGTCGGCGCTAGTTCAGTACCAATTCGAGGGTTCGATTGGGAATTTCCGCACCATATCAGTCCGGGGTGCAATGTGCAAGACCACCACCGTTTGAATAGACTGCTACTTTGCCGACCTCACTCCGACAAAAGGATGCTTCTGTGCCTACACGGATGAAGCAGCGACGACAATGACTACCGAGAGTAAATAAACGCATGCAAATCTCCACACACACAAACACATGAGCTCGAAGAAAATTAGCAAGTTAGGCTAGCAATCGCTAGAACCAGATCAGGATACCGCACACACGATTAGGGAGAGCTAGCTAACAAACGAACAAATGGGAAAGGAACAAGTGCCATGAATAAACCTAGGTTAGGAACACGAATAACCCAGGTAACAAATTGATGCTTAACAAGTGTTCTTTCAACGATTTTAATTCAGACTTAGTTTGAATAATTGTTGTACATAGACCATTTTACCCCTTTGTTCAGCTTTTAAACATCTAAATCTGGTGATTTTAATCAGCCCAAAGCTTAACAGCAATCTCAATTATAAGCTTTTCAATGCAGTAACCAGCAGTCTTTTCCAACCCTTGTTCAGCCTTCATTTTTTTTATTAAAAAAATATAATGGAAGACCGCTTCATATCTTATATTTTTTATGAGACTGCTTTAGAATGTTGCTGACTAATTGGATTTACATATTTATATTGTTATTACATGTCTAAAAATTACCTTTACATTTTGGGATTCAAACCGGCAGTCACTGATTCACAGGCGTCAACTATACCCACTCAACCACATAAGCATATTTGAGGCAGAAGGCAGGATCATTAACACGAAGCACGTCAAAATTAAGTTGAATAATAGCAACCGGAAGAGTATTATACAGCAATGCAGAATTGTAAACAATAAATAAATTAAAAGTAAAACATTCTTCTCATTTCAAGTGCAGTAAACACAATGTGGACACAAGTGCGTGATGTATTTCAATGCTATTTTAGTGCTATAATTGAATTCTACTTTTGAAATGTGGTATGATGAATGGTTTCGTTTGTTAACGATATAGTATCGAATCGAATTGACTCAATAGAACTGTTATCAAAGCTTAATTTTTACATATCTTCTCGGCAACTGCGAACTCGAAATATACCTATTTACTACAAATCACTATCGCACAAATTATGCCGAATTTGGTCCACTAAATCAAATTATGACTGCTTACAATAAACATAGTGAAGCTATTGATTTTATAATGACAAAACCCAGATTAAAGCAGTACTTTAATTCTATTCGTAATTTTAATACATGACTCGTAACTTGTAAAAAATGGTTTACATCTGATTGACGACAAAATAAAATAAATACATAAATAAAATTAAATGCAATATAAAGTGGTGAACAGACAAAACACAGGAATACTAATGTTAATACTTCCGACGTCATCGCAGTCCACTTCTATGTGGAGCTATTCTTAAAAAAAACTCCTCTTCCTAGTCTCTACTGCTGGTGCTGCTTGGGATTAGAAAGGTAGGCAGTGAAATTAGAATAACTAAAAAGTCGGAAATGCAACAAGTCATATTATTCTATCAGAATATTTGAAGCGCATTGCTGGTTTGTGGAGTAGTATTAAGCTTAAATAAGTCTTGTTCAGTCTTTATATCAGCTAACTTACAGAGGTTGAATTATGAAGATACAATTCGTTTCATGCACTACTAACCAACTGTATATTCAGCCTGGTGTTAATCAGCTTCGTACACCTTAAATCAACCAGTAATCAACTTTTGTTCTTACAATTCAGCTTTAATTGTTACTTAGGAAATCGACAGTGAGCATGCATAAGGGCGAATACGCGAGTATCGATTCTCTTCATCTATTTTCTCTTTGCATTGCTACAGCTAAGCGAAACAATTTTCTAGAATTTGTTTAATGCAGAGTAGTAACAGGTTGTATTGGCTATCAAAAGCAACAGCAAACGCACCGAGAAACATTAAATCTAGCGAGTTATTAACAACATAGAAAATCGACGAAGAGAATCGATCATCGCGTATAGGCTCTTATGCATGTTCACTGTCGAAATCATAAATGATTTCCATTATTAAGCCAAGAAATAAATGTTGTTTTCGTAAAGTAAAAGCTTTCCCCGTAATGTTATTTTTTGTTGGCTAGATTCTTCACGTTTTGGTCGTTCTATTTTGCGTTATTTTTTTGTAGTATTTTTTGTTGTAGTTGAATTTACTCCAGGTTGGACTGCCTGGGAAAACAGTCTCCGCACTCACGTGTCAGGATCGGGGGAGGGAATCGGAAAGAAAAAGTTCCTCCAGTGATGATAAATGTGAGTGGGGTTTTTGTGTTACGGTAGAACGACGGTTAACTTCAACTTTCGCTTAACACCGTTGGAAGCGGCCTCTGTTTGTGAGGATCTCAATCCCTCATGGAATTTCAGTCTGCTGAATCGCTCTTAAACTAAATTTCCGGTCTCTTCCATTCATAAACCCGCCCTGAGGTTGGGTTTCTTGCCGGGCAAATCAAACCTTGACGAGCAGTCATCTTTGGAGGTGGCGCTTAAGCCACTCGTTTTAGAGACAGGAAACGTATTCGGTGGTCGAGATCTCGCAGGCTGCGAGGCGTGCGTTACAACCTATCGAAATTTTTCACTTATAACGAGTTAAGGGGCCTCCCTTAGCGCAGTCGGTAAGGCGCAGCTACAAAGCAAGACCATGCTGGAGTTGGCTGGGTTCGATTCCCGGTCCGGTCTAGGAATATACCAATGTAAAAATGGTACAGGCATCGAAAGCTCTCAATTAATAACTGGGCAAGTGCAATCTAGAACACTAAGTTTAGAGCACGCAATAAGCTAATATGCGATATGCAATAAGCTTGAAATTTGAAGAAGAAGAAGAAGAAGAAGAAGAAGAAGAGTTAAGAAATCAATTTAATATTTATTATACTTTTGCAGTGACATCATAACTACCTTTCGTAATCCTACGTCAAATCTACGGTCGTGTCTTGGATACAACCTCTTACTTTTTTTTAATTCTACTAAGATCTCTGAACATCTTTGCACTTCTGGAAAGGCACCTATCATCTACAAATATTCTTGAACATCTGGAAGTTCCTTGAAATTTAACGAAGTTCTCAAAACCCCCAAGAAGTTCATGGAGCTTTTTCGAATTAGGATCTCTGGCAAACTGCAACGAAGTTCCCTATACTGAAACGAGGATTCCTGAAGTTCCAAGAAGTTTATTGAACTATCTGTAGATCTTCTACAAAATGCCTTACATTTATATGAAGTTTTACGCAGCTCTTCAAAATGCTGCGATATTCGCAAAACTTCTACAAAGTTTGCTGTACTTCTACGTTTCTCGATCATTTTCTGCGAAGTTCTACCAACGAAATGAACATGCATACTAGTCCAATAGACGTTGGTGGCCATAGCAGTTTTGACTTTTTATTTTTTTTTATGCGAGGGTAAATAAATTGCAGTGATATTTTTAAAGCAACATGTTTGAAAAATGTAGCATATGCAGAGCTCTGCTAACGTACAATGGTCAGTGAATCCGGAAATAAGAATTGATGGCTACGATTCGTTTGTTCCTGCCAACGTTTACCCCCGAAATTTTAACTGAAACATTCAGCAAACAAAGCTGCGGAAAACATGAATGAAGGAATCATGCCTCATTATTTGCTAAGCGTAAAATCTTCACTTTTGTTCCAAAAGCGCACGTGTCGAGGTCGTTACGATAATTCACATCCCATAAAATTGGAAATGCAACACAATAAAAACCCTCATTTTATTAGTTAAGCTTAAACTAAGTATACTACTTACATTGTCGTTATGTTTTCCTCTCTTCTCAGCTACCACCAAGTTTAAAAACATGCGATAATCCAATAGAACTCGAAAGCTTCACACATTTGACCGGTGCAAAATGTTGAGGTGCATAAAAAAAGAACTTATGAATGGTCATGAAATCACTGCCATCTGCGGCGGCTATTCAGCCAATATTTGTTCAACTTTTGCGCACTCGTTTGTTCGTCGTCGCTCTCGTATTAACACCCAGAGCCACTATTTACACTTGCCGTTTCACAAATGATCACTGAACGGAGAAGAAGCGTGCACATTCATATATGTACTAACGATAGCGACGGGTTGAATAATTAGATTCCAGCTTCTACTTTATGGGACATCATTTGTTGAGGCATCCTCCAATTTGTTTCACTTTTTTCTTTACACTGGACACTTCGTAGATGACGACTTAATTTTCAAATTTTCCTTTGTGAATATTTTTTACCGGCTTAATCTCAATCTTCCGGTTTCAAGAAGCATCCAATTTGTTCCGCAACGACCCCTAATTACAAGTTGTAGCACACGGGACGGCTAAATTGGCGCAGACACACAGACACACAGTAGAGCAAACGATGGCTTTTCCGACACTATAACACTTTATCTCTGCGGCAAAATCCCTTCGCGAAAACTTTCGATTCCCCGTCGCGTTTGCTTTCCGTTCCAGCAACCCAACAAATGGATGCAAATGTACACCAAGGTTTCCCCGCAGCAACAACATCGACGACAACAACAACAACGGTGACGATTACAAATAACAGCAGCAGAGAGGGTGGTGGCAAATTGATCACTTCACTCGGCAGGACTAGACACCTCAGGAGGTGAGTCAAAGGCAGAACGGCGCTTGGCGACAATGAAAACGCCTACGACGCAGGAGGGCAACTGCCAAGCATAAGCCACATGGGCACCTACCAATCAGCAGCTTGAACTTGAAACACATTCACAGCTGACACACAGTGACTTCCTAATGTCGCAGCCAGGTTACCACCAAAACACGTCCAAACACCACGCGCGCCTTCGACGAACTGATTTGAACTCCACCGCGAACGAAACGAACAACCACCAGCACCGCCGGCAAGCAATTTGATCCTCACAACCGAAAACGAGGAAAAGGGATTTCCCAATCCTCTCCCTCCCAACCCAACCCGATCGACCAGACCACACACACGCGCGACACCGGTAGCAACAATCGCACAACGTCGGTCGGTCGGAGTAAAGGCCCTCTCTCACCGTATAGGTGGCCAATCTCACACCAATAGCGAAAGCACCCTCTCGGCCGGCAACAACACATCAGTTTCCGTCCGGAAAAACAACAACGCCGATTAGGTGGGTTCCCGTCGTCACCCCCGTCCTACCGGTGAAGGAAAGGAATTGGGAGAGGAAAATGCGAAAAATCAGCTGGCCGCTGGCCGAGCGAACTAAACACGTGCGTGAGAGAGGAAAACAGTGCACCATATGGGAGAATATAAGAGATTCTCTCAGAGCGCAAAATAAGTTACGAGAGAACACGAGCGGTATAGCACAAGCTATCAAGTTGAATACAGTCAGATTCCAGTTGAACGCATAAAGACCTGCACGGCCGTTGAATCTCACTCAAATTTGGGTTCCGTTCACTCAAACTCGCACACGGAAATGAAATACAACCCAAAATTAAGTACATTTCACTCATATCCCATGATTCGTGCGATAACCCAAATTTGAGTGAACCGTTTAGTTAGTGCGCTATACTGAACCACCCTGAGTACTACAACCGTTGAATATCACCATCGCTGCTACACTTTGATCTTCAAAAAAAGTAAGACGTTGTATCCAAGACTCGATCGTAGATTTGACGTAGGATTACGAAAGGTAGTTTTTTTTTTTTTTTTTTTTTTTTTTCTTTATTAGAGAGATTTTCAGCCTTGGGCTGGTTCATCTCTGCGAAAGGTAGTTATGATGTCACTGCAAAAGTATAATAAATATTAAAATTAAAGCTTATTGCATATTGCGTATTAGCTTATTGCGTGCTCTCAACTTAGTGTCCTAGATTGCACTTCCACAGTTATTAATTGAGAGCTTTCGATGCCTGTTCCGTTTTTGCATTGGTATAATTGTGTGGCAAGTCCAATCCCAATGCCCAGGGAAGTCGAGAAATTTTCCATCCCGAAAAATTCCTAGACCGGACCGGGAATCGAACCCAACCACCTCCAGCATGGTCTTGCTTTGTAGCTGCGCCTTTACCGACTGAGCTAAGGGAGGCCCCTTAACTCGTTATTAGTGAAAAATTTCAATATGTTGAAATTCGGAAGCAATTTGAGAGTTTTATTTTTCAGGTGCTCTGTCGATGTCCATGTGGTATAAGCCAATCCTGGACGATATGTATTGGATTCAAGCTCTTACCACAGACAAACAGACGTAACTCTTTGAAAAACTTGTTCTTGAAAACATAGTATCTCAAAACATATAACCTCAGTAACGACATCTCTCTGGCTTCTCGCGGAAAACAAGCTTGCTTGCTAACTCGTAAACAGTATTGCATAAAAGTTCTATAGAATGTATAGAAACGTCAAAGTGATCTGATGCCAGCGCTGCGGCGAGTAGTTCGCGGAACTGATAATATTCAAATCAACCGTTAAATGCATGAACGAAGATACACAATGAAGAGTTACGTCTGTTTGTCTGTGCTCTTACTCTTTAGTTTACTCTTTTATTAGTAATTTGTGGTCCTGAAAAGGACCGATGGGTTGGAAGCTTGGAAGCTAGTTAAGAACAATACTGTGGAAATTTTTCCTCGATGTTTTTGGAAATGATAGCGGTGCGGAAATGAAATATGTATTAGGGAAAACACATTAATCACAGAATCTGAGCCTACCGGACGGTACCTACGTTTATAGTTATTTATGCAAATGTTAAGCCCCTTTTATTAAGAGAATTCAGCATGGTTTTTTTTTTGCCTAATGCTCGTAATAGGAGGGGCTTAAAGTTTGCACCTAAAGGCATAAAGATCGGTACCGTCTGGCATGCTCAGGGCTTGGTATCAATATTCGGCGACTGTGTTAGGGAAATCACGGAAACGCCTCGTTTTCTGATGACAAAATAACGCATTGACGTGCACAAAACGCACGGAATTTCTTGCTCAAATCTTTCCCATCGCGATCAGTCATAATAATTCGAGTTTTTTTGCTTTTTCTAGCGTCCTGGAGAAAACCTTACGAAGTGTCTTTGGTTTATTGACATGGTCATGTGGTATTCGGTCATTGCGAGAATTGAATGTACCACTTCAATTTTTTTTTACTCTTTATTTGTTCCAAATTCAAAATAAATTACATTTCATTTTAACCTAGGTGCTTCAGTTACTACAGTAACTTACCAGCCTTAATTGTTATGTTATGATAATATATTTATATATCTATGTATTTTTACATTGTTCCTGTCTTTGAAATTCATTATTTTAAATAGGTTTTTTAAACCTGCATGTCAGTATAACAATTGATATCTTAAAACTAAAAACTAAAACTAAATCTTATCTAAGTATAAAGGGAATTAATCGTTGCAATTAAGGATTGCAACGATTTTTGCCTGAAATTATTAATTATTTTGTTGGACATTTGTTCTAAAGTCTCAACATTCGAAATTCTATGTACCTCAGTAGTACTGTACCAGGGAGGTAACTTCAAAATCATTTTCAGAATTTTGTTCTGAATACTTTGAAGTGCTTTTTTCCTGGTAGTGCAGCAACTAGACCATATTGGCACAGCGTAAAACATGGCCGGTCTAAAAACTTGTTTAAATATTAGAAGTTTATTCGTCAGGCAAAGTTTGGATTTCCTGTTTATAAGAGGATACAAACATTTAATATATTTGTTACATTTGGCTTGAATGCCCTCAATGTGTTAATCCAAGATATTTCACTTGGTTTGACCAGGAAATTGGAACTCCGTTCATAGTGACTACTACTAGGTTTCAAAGAGGAAGCTCTAGGCTTATGTGGAAATATTATAAGTTGAGTTTTGGAAGCGTTGGGAGAAATCTTCCATTTTTGTAAATAAGAAGAGAAAATATCTAAACTTTTCTGAAGTCTGCTGCAAATAACACGAAGACTTCTTCCTTTAGCGGAAATGCCTGTGTCATCAGCGAACAAAGATTTGTGGCAACCCTGAGGCAAATCAGGAAGGTCCGAAGTGATAATGTTATACAATATAGGCCCAAGAATGCTACCCTGAGGAGCTCCTGCTCTAACAGGTAGTCGATTGGATTTTGGTAATTTACCTGCAGACTTCTGTCAGTTAAATAATTCTGAACTAATTTCATAATGTAAAGTGGAAAATTAAACTTTTTCAATTTAGCAATCAAACCTTCATGCCAAACACTGTCGAATGCTTTTTCTATGTCTAGAAGAGCAACTCCAGTTGAGTGGCCTTCAGATTTGTTTGAACGAATTAAACTGGTAACTCTTAAGAGTTGATGAGTAGTTGAATGCCCATGGCGAAATCCAAACTGCTCATCTGCAAAAATTGAGTTCGTATTGATGTGAAGCATCATTCTATTTAAAATTATCTTTTCAAAAAGTTTACTTATTGAAGAAAGCAAACTTATTGGACGGTAGCTAGAAGCTTCAGCTGGATTTTTATCCGGCTTCAAAATTGGAACAACTTTTGCATTTTTCCATTTATCAGGAAAGTATGCCAAATGGAAACATCTGTTAACACTCCGAATACGGTGGGTAAAAAACTTTACGCCGACTATGAAGCCTCCGAAAAACGTGTAACGGCAAGTTTGCAATGGCACAACTTAGCCATTTCTTAATGAATTTCAAAAATTGTGGTGCCTTTAGAATTCCTAGGGTTTCTAGATGATTTTGATTGCAAAAAACTTGAAAATAGAGTCGTCTACTTTTTTAAAAAGCGAAAAGAGTTGTTGCACGTTTTTTTGAAAGGTGTGTTTGTAGGGTTTTGCAAGTGGCGCAAGATCTGTAATTTAGATTAATGGGCACAAATGTTCACAACTAGCCAGAACACAGTCATGGTTCCTATATATGGATCCTGGAGACAACGGAACGGTCCTCGAAATATCCGGAACATCCGTAAAAATGGTTAATCCATGATCCTGATCCTAGAGCTCTGCGGTTTTTTTTTAAACATTAGGAACTGTGATATAAACAAATATTTGGGATCGTGACATAAAATGTACCTGGATGGCCATGGGACCGTCCTCCGGAAGATCCGGAACATCCGTAAAAGTGGACAATCCATGAAACTGTTCCTAGAGCTCCGTGTTTTTTTAACATTAGGATCTGTGATATAAGAATGAATTTGGGCCATGGACCCAGATGGCCATGGGACCGTCCTCCGGAAGATCCGGAACATCCGTAAAAGTAGTAAATCCACGATCCTGATCCTAGAGCTCCGTTGTTTTCTTGAAAACATTAGGAACTGTGATGATAGAAAAAATTTGGGCTTGTGACGTAAACATGAACCTCGATGTCCATAGGACCGTCCTCCGGAAGATCCGGAACATCCGTAAAAGTGGACAATCCATGAAACTGATCCTAGAGCTACGCGTTTTTTTAACATTAGGATCTGTGATATAAGAATGAATTTGGGCCATGGACCCAGATGGCCATGGGACCGTCCTCCGGAAGATCCGGAACATCCGTAAAAGTAGTAAATCCACGATCCTGATCCTAGAGCTCCGTTGTTTTCTTGAAAACATTAGGAACTGTGATGATAGAAAGAATTTGGGCTTGTGACATAAACATGAACCTGGATGTCCATAGTACCGTCCTCCGGAAGATCCGGAACATCCGTAAAAGTGATCAATCCATGAAACTGATCCTAGAGCTCCGCAGTTTTTGAAAAAACACTAAGAACTGAGATGATAGAATGAATTTGGGGTCGTGACATAAACATGAACCTTGATGGGTATGGGACCGTCCTCCGAAAGATTCGGAACATCCATGAAAGTGGAAAATTCACGAAACTGATCCGAGAGCTCCATGGTTTTCATGAAAACGTTAGGAACTGCGATATTAGAATGA